CGAAATCGAGAAAAAAGGTGGCCTACGAAAATGTTGGACTGTATAGCCTTTACAATCTAGTTATTTTCCCATTTTGGAGGTCACGCCAAACAGCTCAATATTTCTGAAGGCCACCTTTTTTCTCGAGTTTTTACTCAATTTGTTATTTGGCGATTCTGATTGACAACAAATGGGTGTTCACGAGTTTTTAGTACCTAATTAAATAGACAATGTTTGACGATCTCCAGATTTAAAAGGCTCCAAACCTTAGAATTTTCGTAAATAAAATATTTGTAGATTACGATGTGATAAAGCTAATTACGAATTTTCAGGCGTAGGTTAATAATACGATAAAAAGGAATCTGTGCCACCGACCATTACTTATGGATTAGTTTTCTAATATAAAAAATTGTTATTCTGTCTAGCCCATTCAACAATAGCAAACCCTCTTCATTTTCACAATCACCAATTTTTTAAAATGAATTCTCATAGTAAAGATGTTGACAATTTTTTAAGAATTCGTGATTATTTAACTTAAATCCTCTTAATAATTACAAGTTAAGCCAGTGAGTAAGGTACTGAATTTCTAATCTCAAGGTCCCGGATTGTAATCCGATTGTGGCAGATAATCTTTTATTCTGTTACATTAATTGTGTTCCAAGATTAGAAGGCCCTCCTGGAGCATACACAGCCTCTATAAAGTAGATAATCTTAATTAAATAATTTAGGGAGAAAGCCTGGCATTTTAGCTTGATCTTGGTCAAATCATCCCCTTACAGAATCGTTGAAGAAGAGTACTTTCTGACAAAATTCTAAGCCCAAGAACATGGAATTTTTTTTTCGATTTTTTTATTCATATTAGCATACCTAAAACACTACTAGAATTTTGTATTTACCATTCTATGAGGTTTGAATTTTGTTTTAAAATTTGCATATTGTTTAATTTTAGGGAGGGGGGTTTCTGAGACTCAAAATAGTTTAAAAATTATAATTCCTTTGCAAGGACTTTTTGTCCGTTGTTAGTAATTTACTGACTCATTTTAGGAAGATTATATTATATTCCTCCATTTCTCATCACTTTAGCTGAAGCCGCCTGAAGTTCTTAAACGGTGTGACATAATTACAGGAAGCAACTAAAAAGCGACAGCCTTCAAGTCCCCAGCCTTTGAATTCTCTTTCTCATATTTTTAGACAAGCTTAAAAACAATAGCAAACACCTTGTTTTCAAACATAAAAAATTACTGTGTATAATTATTTATTTAGCTTTATAACATTCAAATTAAAATGTAATAACAATTATCTAATTTTTTATGAAACATTAAAAATTCAAATATCACGTTTGTGCTCTCGAGAGAAAGTTACGGACGGGGTCACCGATTTCAATGAAACATTTTTTGGTGATACTAGATCAAAAAATATTTTATACATGTCCGAGGGTTCATGCCAATGCGCCCTAGGACCCGAGAAAGAAAAAACATATTATTTTAATATTTTTTTTAATTACTATTTTCTAATTGTGCTCTGGATATATTTTATTTTATGTAAGTTATTATATATCAATCGATATTGTATCAAACGAGTTCTAATGTATAATAAATTACAAAAACCCAAAACAGGCTTCCATTAAAGTAGTCTAAGTAAATATTTATCACGAAAATAAAACGTTTAAGATTCGTTTTTAGCATCAACATAAAAGAGTTTGTTTTAAAAATATATATATATATATATTCATTTTCGGACTTAATTTTATGCGACGATTTATTTTCATGCCTTTTAAACGTTACTGCAAACAAGAGAAAATTAAATTATTGCTCTTTAAAACCATATCAATAACTTTTAGATTTTACGCCTTTAAAAGGAACAAATAAAGAAAAACTTCGCAAAAGTTTTTATTTTTTATTTCCAAGCCAAATTTATTTTCGGGCGTCTAGTTTGTGACATTTCGTGTATATTATATGGCGCTAAATTCATGCCCATTTTCGTTTGGAAAGATGAAGCTGTGTCGAAGTTATCACAATTTTCGAAACAAAATCGAAGCCTCCAGCTATGCGGGAATTTTGTGCAAAATATTTAAAGACGGAAATACGAAGCCTGATTCAAGGTATGACCATAATCAACGTGTCCAATAACAACGCTAGGAGGATCAGAAATATCTGAATGAGGGATCTCCTTGCTTAACTAAAAATATTTAAATCAAGACTGAAAGGAATGCCGCTGGGCACTTCTCTCTATCACGTCGGTCAATGTTCTACTTCATACGCCACTTCCCGACAGCAACTCACTGGTTGTCAGAGTTTCAGGTGTGGGTAGAAAAATAAAGATAGGATAATAAAGATAAAGAGAAATACATATATAATATTTCTTTATATTTAATTTTTCTTAATTAAATTAATTTTTTTTCTATTCTTCCCTACCCCGCCTTTTAGGCTGTAGGGAGTTTTCCCGGGCCGGAGGGTGGGAACGGGGAATTTAAAATCCACTATGGCACCGAGACGCGAACTCATACTTTTTTTCAGTCTCAATACTTGGTTATCTGGTTACCGGGCAACTCGCGATGCTGTGCACACACAATAGCCCATTCGGCCACCCTGTCCCTTATTTTCTTATTATTTGTGGGATGTAGACATAGGTGGAGAATTCGGGCTCCTCTCACCCTCTCAATAAAAATGTTGAGGGGGCTAGAATATTATTTTGCTTCCTCCCCTCCTCCGATAATTTGGAATAAAAAAAATTAAAAATCATAACAAATAAGCTTCCTGAATAAATAAAATATTTAAACTAAAATCGATTTACATTAGAATAGTCGACTAAGCTAAGACCAGTAAGTCGGTAACTATTTTATCACGACTTAAATATTCCTATTATTTAAATTTTCATTTATATTCAGGAATAATAATATAGAAACATGTTCTTAGATTTTATGATTCATTCGCACTTAATTTTGACACTTCCATTTTCAAGTGATTTTTTTAATACATTTTCTGAGATAAATTTTGAATGAATATTTTTAATAAGTACAAATATAAATATATTTTATAGTGATCGTTTTTATAGACGTTTTGACATAACTAGTCAGACTGTGTTAAAATGTTTGATTTTTATTTGGAGGTTGTATAAACTAAAAAAAAAATAGTTTTCAGTTTTTATCATTATTTATTTTTAGCTTAAAAATTTCTAGTAATCTAACTATTTTATAGAGGCTGACCCTCTTTCTTCCACATATTTTCAAGTATTTTTATAAGCATATACAAAAAAAAAAAAAAAAAAAATCTGACAACTATCTAAACATAAATACAGTTATTTTTAAATATCCAAGATTATATTTGTTTGTTTCACAATAATTATGTTGAATTTGTACACATAATATAAACTATTCCCATTTTTTTTTTTTTTTTTTGTCCATCCCTCCCAATTAAAATGGAAAGTCTGCGTCTATGGATGTAGATATTATTTTTCAATTAATATACTTCTTGTAATTGAATCAATAAATGAAGAAAGGGATATATGTTTGAAGGTAAGGCGATCATCACTAATTTAGTGAGGGTTGGTGGTAGGCCGCCTAAAGGAAGTTGCCGATTGGAGCTGCCACCTGTGGAATGGCAATAAATAGACCTCCTCCTTTTATTGGTGTTAGCCGCTGGCAACTGTTTTATTTATAATTAATTTTACTTTTTTAGGACTGTACTCTTTAGTACCAATAGCACTTTTGGTTTACGTGAGAACTATTACCTTCTTAACGAAAACTGTGAATTAGTACCTGATTGTTCCAATATTTACATCCAACATGGCTCACAGTTTAAAAAAAAAATATTATTTAATAGCTAACAGACCCAATTATTAGTACCATAAATGTGTTGCTCCAGATATTACTTTCTTATTTAATAAAAACTTTAAATTAGGACAAAGCAGCACATGAGATTTTAGCTATTGATTGCTCAAGAAAGATGGAAATAAAGTTCTGATGATGGGTATTATATACCGAAACGTAAACTTGGAATGAATAATAGAAAATAAACAATTTGTTATACGGGATGTTTCAGGGTTCATTGGCCAAATTGCAAAAATGAATTAAGGACCTCAAAACAAGAAAAATATTTCCTCTGAAGGTACGTCAAACGCTTTGTTTAGGAGATATTCATATCTAAAGATTTTCATTGTTATGAATTATTTACAATTTATTAGTTATATGAAACAAATAAAACCTAATTATTTTTTCTGACTACTTTATTAAATGTAAATATTAACATTCATATTAAATGTTGTTCAAAGTGATGATGATTTCCTTGAGCATTAGGACAGGCTCGGCATGTTTCTTCAACAGCAGCAGTTGCAAAACAGCAATGGATTTGTTATTGTTTCGCAAAATTCAATTATCCTTCTTCGTAAGGAATTAAGGTCATTTACCGGACTTGCATAGACTTTTTGTTAAATGTCACCCAAAACAAAAAAATCTAGCGGTGTCAGGTCTGAAGAGCGTGCAGGCCAAGCCACTGGTCCTGCATGGCCAATCCATTGATTGAGCAAGTCCGGTCAATTTACGAATTTTTAGTTGGATGTTAATAATTTGATAAAAGGGGGTCTGTAGCACGGACTATAATTACAGATGTCCGCCTTTGCTATGCGGCAACTCGTTAAGTTACTTTGTTTTTAATATTTTTATCTTGAGAACAAGATGGTCGGGGGGGGGAGGAGGGCGGTTAGTATTTAAAACTATATATTACTATAGTATTTTATTGTGTTTGCCAACCTTTAAACCTACGTTATATGTCTTAGTCAGGACATTTCATCTGGCCGAAAGAAATTAGGAGACTCAGACTCGCCATGGGTCAATAAAAATACCCATCTCTAAGTTTTATTTTTTTCCAGTACTTTATACTTATTAGAAATAGTAACAGAAAGTTGGTCCAAACGTTGACATACAACAAGTAGCTTTTGAATATTGGTTCGTTAACCTAATCATACCCACTGACTATAGATATTTCGAAATGCCTAACCTTTACATCCTTTACCTAACCTTTCAGATGATGCAGCTGCGGTGAGATGCTGTGGTTGCTGGCGGTGGTCGGGCTGGCCTCGGGCGCTAGGGTGCGGCTGTCGGTGATCGCCCCCACGCTGGACCACGTCCAGGCCCTCCCCGTCATCCTCCCCATCATCGAGCTGGCCGTCCGCAATGTCTCCGACCGCCAGCGGGGCCTCCTCCCGGGGGTCAACATCACCATCGCCCAGAGGAACTCCAACTGCTCCTCCACCTACGGCCCGCTGGCCGCCATGGAGCTATACAATCACACTGGTGAGTCCATTCCTATAATTACTTATTTACTTTATAATTAGTTTTTAACATACTATGACTTAACCAGTTTCTGTTTTGATCATAAATAATATAATATCGTTAAGGCTGTGGAACAACCAGACTTGATGAAAGAGAAGGCAGCACGAGTTGCAGGGGATGAAGAAATCTCGTCCTGACTTACAAGATTCGTAATTTACATTAAATTAAAGTACAGATAAGGTTAATTTTTTTTTGTCGGGAAGGGTTCTCCTCTTCCACGTCTTTAATACGGGGTTTTTCCGGGCCAGGGCATGTGGGTGGGGATTTAAAAGAAACCCTCGGTTTCTTGACTATTTTAAATCCATTGTCTCATAGATCAGGTTGCCGGACAACGGCAATGCTGAGTACATACGTTATCCCGTTCGGCCACCCCGCCCACACAAAAACAGATAAGATTAAATACATGGGGAGGAGAGAGATAATAGGGCGAGTGAGTTAACGTATGTGCTAATTACACGTTGTCCGACAACCTGGTAAACTTTTTGTTTCTCCTCTTCCTCCCTTTTAGGCTATACGGTTTTTTCCCGGTCTAGGGGTAAGGGCGGGGGATTAATGCCAGAGTTATAAGCTCCTCTCGGAACCGGGCGCTATCTTGTCATTATTTTATAATTTATAACTTCGATTATCAAGTTTCTGGGAAAATTAAGTTAGGCCGCTCAGCCACCCCGTCCTCCTCCGCAACCTGCAAACCTAATAAACTTTCGTTATTTATTTAATGAAATTTACAACTGTATAAACAATACAACTAGTAAAAATGCACACATTAAAAATAATGACATGAACATACTTGAAGAGATACTGCCCAGTGTTAGCACTCCCTATTTAATTCTAGATAAGAAGATCACGAGACCATATTCTTTTCAGACACCTAGGGGGATTATGAGGTATCGAGGAAGAAGAAGGCTATAAATAAGTGAATTCAGATGGGACTTGAGTTTATAATGAAAGGTATCTGGCTCGGGCTAAATCAGCGACACGTGGAACATTATTGTCTTTATGAATGGTTTTATTTGTGACGAGATTGGATCATTGAGGATTTTACTAAGGATTTTGGATTGTAAGGATTGGATACGATAGGAATTCGATGGTTTGGTAGAGCCCCAAAGCTCTTTCTAATAAACTAAAGAAAATATGATATTATAATCACGAGATCGTTTTCCGGTGCCGAGGGGGCTTATAAACCCTTGCATTAATTCCTCGCCCTCACTCCTGATCCCTAGAAAAAACACCAGATATCAAAAAATGCAGGGAAGAAGGAAATATAAATAATTATTTGATATCTTAACATATTATTTTTGTTGTATACTTTAAAGGATTCGGTAGAGTTTCAGTGGTAAATTTAACATTTGAATTAAAGCCGGAAAAATATTTTAGGAACTCAAAAAAATAAAATAAAATAACAGTAAAAAATCGTTAAATATAATTTATTATACCACGAGTTTCCTACTATGGTTTTATTAGACTAAAAATTCATATTGATTTCCTCATTAAGTAAAAAAGAAATATATTATGGGAAGAAGTAAGCACTGCGTGTGAACTTGAACAGTACAATATATTAAATGCCTTGGTATAAATTGAAATACTTCTACCAAAAATATATAAATTAGTTCAATAATTTCAGCTCTTTTTCTGACTTTTAAGTTTGTTTTTTATCTTAGTATTTCGGTGAAGTACAAAAAAAAAACCACTCCAAATGAATTCTCGAAATTTTGGTCACTAATAACCGGTACTAAACGACTGGTAATGTTACCTGAATTACGATAATGGCATGGCCTCTGCCAATTCAAGTAAGCCTAACGACATTCCAACTTTCGAGAAGTCCAGTATAAGGGGTGACTTTTTTAGCTTTGAGACAGATGGCTTAGGGCTATAATTCACCGCCATACTTGGATAATTGGACGTGATATAAACGTTTATTGGAGCAGTTAATATTTACTTTAGAATATATTGAGATGAACAATTATCACGGTTACTTCATTATAAACAATACTGCAAACCCTGTGGTAATTTCTGAAAGCAGGCTTGATTAAAAAAAAGGGGTGAAACCATCAGATTTCTTTATGTTTATTTTAAATTATCTGTAGGATAATACTAATTTCATTTCGGTTTGTTTTCGTACATCGCACAGAGGGCTTATATTATCAATCCAGTGGGACAAAAATCAAAAACGGTATTTACACGAAAAGCAACAAAATATCTCACTGTTATTAATGGAATAAAATATAATTAGTCTTGAGATTAATTATACTTTTCTCAGTATTTTATTTTACTTTTTAATGTAATAATTTGCATAGTATATTGGTCAGGGAACGGAAGACAACATATTACAGAAATAAGTCATATGAAGAAGATAAAATAATCTTGGGTGGCGATCATTAATAGGCTATATAGTGGCAAAACTATTTTATTAAAAGACAACGTTTCGACCCGACTTTGCTGGTCTTCTTCATGGAATTCTAAGTGAAACTCCTAGCTGAATACACCTGTAAGTCTCTAAGTGAAACTCCTAGCTGAACACACCTGTAAATCTCTAAGTGAAACGTTGGCTTTTAATAAAATAATGTTGCCACTATTTAGCCTATTTATGACCGCCACCCCGGACCATCTCCTTTCTTTATAATGTAACGGTCAATATATATATATAGATTATTCAATAAAATAATCTTATTTTTCTCAATGGGTTCATAATATTTCATTTATGATAATAAATAAAAACATATGTATATTACTATAGGTATATATTTTTATAAGAATTATTCAATTAAATAATCTCTTGTTTTGCATGGATATATAAATAAATTATCGATAATAAATGAAAAACTATGAAGAAATGTATTCTTTGTTGAGCAATAGCAATACTTTTGAGCTTTTTTTTTTTCCTTCATAACCTTTTCCCTTGATATTTCGGAGGATATGAGGATTTTTCTTACCCGAAGTAGAAGATCTTCAAAATGAGGGCTCAGTTATTGAATTTGTTAAAGAATTGACGAAGATATGGCGTATGAACAAAAAAAAAAAAAAAATCACATAACATTTTCCGTATTGTATTAGGCTCATGTTAGGTATAGAAGCCTATTATCTCATATTTGATATTTTATCATTTTCTGTACCACGTCACAATGTGAAACTGTTGATTATTTCAAATAAAAAATATTAATGTTATTTTAGAGGAAGAAATTTGGAAAATTAGCCATTTAAGCTCTGTCAGAGAATATCATGATAATAAAACCTAAATTATTTTAAAACTGGTTAATTTTACATCGATATAATGAATTGAATCAAAATAATTCGAGCTGTTTTCTAAAAAAATCGTAAAAATGTGTTAAATCGATGATATAAAGTGCTAGTTATAGAAAAGTTTTAAAATAGTTTCACATAACTGAATTGCTGATTTTCGGGTAATCAGCATAAAGAAGGGACATTTTGTTTTACAGTTGGCTGGAGCATAGCCATACCTGTAATAAAAACCTTCACTGGAAACGATTTGATAGAGATAAATCGAGTTTGCGTTTACTGAGCGCAGCTCGGCAAAAATGAAGAAGGGAGGGGGTACACAACCGTGTGTAGCTGCAGAAGTTAACGAAACCTTGGAAAGAGATAGAAACACCACTGAAGAAAGTAATGAAAGAATAATGACCCAAGAACTGGAAAAACAAACAAGCCACCCAACTTATGCACAAATCATGTCAAATCAAAAACCGTCAAGCCGTGAGTATGCCATTGTGTTACAAACAATTAAGGGAATTAAACAGAAAGAATATGTTGCAAAAATTGCAGACTTAGTAGAACCAAATGCAATTAAATTTGCATCACGTATATCCAATAATAGGTTTTGCATTCACTTATCGAACAAGGAGCAGGTAGATAAATTACTATCCAAACATAGAGAAGTTGTGATAGACGAACATATAATTCCAATTCGTAGATTAGTAAATTCAGCAAAACGTATTATAATATCAAATGTATGCCCTAGCATTCCAAATTACGTAATAGAAAACGAACTCAATAGAATGGGAATCAAACTACTTTCACCAATGTCATTTTTAAGGGCAGGATACCAGGACCCCAAAACAAGTAACATCATGAGCTTTAGGCGACAAATCTTTATGAATCCTGAAGATATCAGTCACCTAAAAACATCAATTGTAGTCCAAAATGAAGGTCTTTCTCACAGAATCTTCTTAGCGGAAGATATCTTAATTTGTTACATCTGTAGAAAACAGGGACACTTCGCTGCAAATTGCCCTGACTCGGACGATATAGACGATGAACCATGTTTACAAACCCGTCCACTAATGACTCCTAACAATCAAACCAAACTTTCAACCGAAACTGAAATTATAAAAACCAACACGGTTAATCAAAATAGTGAGTTAACTACTAACAGAATTACAGAAAAAGAAATTCCCACAACGTTAATTGAAAAAAATAACAATAGCAACAATATTAAGCAAATAGAAAGTATAAATGGCTCATCGGCAACAATGAAAACCACAAAAGGAAAAAACACTCTACAAAACATTACTACAGACAAAAAGACCATTCTTAATACACCAGAGAAAAAAATAACTGATTTAAATAAAAAGGAAAAAATAATTGAAGAAAAAAATTACTTACAGCAAAAAACAAAACCGACCACAAAAGATATACTAGAACCAATCCGTGACTTATTAATGAAAAACAATTACCCTCTTCAATTTAAAGAAATTTGCCTATTATACGAAACAATTCAGATAGAAAAATTGTCATCAAACACACCTGATTTGATAAAACAATTCACAAAGGATAAAGAAGGGTTAATTAGGATGCTAACAGACATTAAGGGATTCGTAGATCATAGAGGTATAAAAATATGGTCAACAAAAATTTTGAAACTACTGAATGGAAATGACCTCACCGAGATCACACCAGGTGAGAAATTTTCGAAGATATCAACGGGCAACAGAGTCTTTAAAAAAGAA